GAACTCGGCGGCAGCGGTCGTCGCACGAGTGATTCTTCCTTTACCATCGCGCACCGACTCGCCCAACTCCACTCCACGCCCGCCCCACCGGATCCGGAGACCGGGCGGCGACGGTTCGGATTCCCCGTGCCGACGTTCTGCGGGGACACAAAGCAGCCGAACCGGTTCTGCGACGACTGGGCGGAGTTCTACGCGAATGAGCGGCTGCGCACGGTCCTTGAGAGCTCGGAGCGGCGGAATGGGCGGGACGGTGCGTTACGGGAGTTGGTGGAGCGGACGGCGGGGACGGTCGTGCCTCGGCTGTTGGGGAGGGGGCATTTGGGGGGTGGGGAGGGAATTGTGCCTGTGGTGGTGCATGGGGATCTGTGGAGTGGGAATGCGGGGAGGGGGAGGATTGTGGGTGGACTTGAAAGCGACAAGGCTGGGGATGTGGTCTATGATCCCTCGGCGTGCTATGCGCATAGCGAGTTTGAGCTGGGGATCATGCGGATGTTTGGTGGGTTTGGAGCCAAGTTCTTTGAGGAGTATCACAGGTTGGTGCCCAAGACGGAGCCGGTGGAGGAGTATGGAGATCGGGTGAGGTTGTATGAGTTGTATGTTCTTTCGCTTACATCTTGATCAAGAGGGTAGGATAGGGCTGACTGGCTACAGGTACCATCATCTGAATCATCATGCGATTTTTGGGGCAGGGTATCGGTCGGGGGCTGTGTCGATTATGGAGAAGTTGTTGAAGAAGTATGGTTGAATGAGGTGAGTGAGGCGATTGAGTTAGGAGGGAGATTGAGTAATGGATGTAGTTGACAATGACTCTGTAGCTCAGCTATCAAGCTAGCTATATTTCTGGATTAATAATCTTAACTGATGACACCATCGACAGTCGTCATTATTTATTCCCCTCTTCTTTCACTTGACCTTCCATTCTGTATCTTTCAACCATAGCCATAACCACTCAATCCTCCAACTGAATTGGGATTATTCTCCTCGTCAACAATGCCAGTCCCCGATGCCGATATCCACCCCGAGGCCACTGGCCCCGCCAAAGCTCTGGTGGCCAACCACCAAGCCGAACAGCCCTTGAAGTTCTATGCGGGGTGGTTCTGTCCGTGAGTCTCTCCGCGCAAGATGTCTAGTTTATATACACCTAGGTACTTTCAACATACTAACGCCCCCCAGCTTTGGTATTCACCCACCATCCTAACACGCAACCCCACCGCCTTAACTAAAATATACCCCAGTCCAACGCGTCTGGCTCGCCCTGGAAGAGAAACAGATCCCCTACCAATACATCGAAGTGAACCCCTACCACAAACAACCCTCCTTCCTCGCCCTGAACCCACGCGGCCTCGTCCCGACCATCACCTCCCCGGATACCTCCTCCAATGCGCGCCCCCTCTACGAATCCACCGTCATCCTCGAATACCTCGAAGAAGCCTACCCCACGCACACGCCCGCCCTCCTCCCGCAGGACCCGTACCTCCGCGCCCGCGCCCGCATCTGGATCGACTACGTCACCTCCCGCATCATCCCCGCCTTCCACCGCTTCCTCCAGCATCAGCCCCGCTCCGCCCAGGGGGGTAATTCTGGGGAGGATGAGCTCCAGACCCTCCGAGCGGACTTTCTGGATACCCTCAAGGAGTTCACGCGGGAGCTGCACCCCCAGGGCCCGTACTTCCTGGGCGAGGAGTTGAGTCTGGTGGATGTGGTGCTCGCGCCGTGGGCGGTTCGGCTGTGGGTGTTTGATGAGTTCAAGGGGGGGCTGGGGGTTCCAGCGCCGGGGCAGGCGGGGAGTGAGGAGGAGGAAGGGGTGTGGGAGCGGTGGCGGCGGTGGGTGGCTGCTGTGGAGGGGAGGAGGAGTGTGAGGGAGACGCTGAGTGAGAGGGAGTGGTATTTGCCGATTTATCGGCGGTATGCGGAGGATAAGGCGCAGAGTGAGTTGGCGAGGGCTGTGCGGAAGGGGAGGGGGGTGCCTTGATTTGGTTCTGGGGATGTGGAGTGGATATTGGGTATGGTGGACGTGGTATGTGCGCAGTGCTCAGTGCTTAAGTCTAGGTCTAGGGCTAGATGGTATAAGACTTGGGGAACAGGTGGAGGAGATATCATCGGGAATTATCTATCTGATTAAACAGTGGAACTGTCCCTCCCAGCCAGGATTACTCTTACGTGGAAACCGTTTGGCTTCGATGATTATCGCCTTCTGCAGACGGCCCACCACATAATGCTTGTGGAGCACATTAGCCGCGTATCTGGCCCTCTGGTGGGTGTATGACTCTCGCTCCACGCCATCACCAGCGTTGAGGTGAAAAGTTAGTGTTGCGGAATCACAAGCCAGCAGTAGTCGCACTGCTTGCTCATATGGGTGATGTCCATTCTGCGCAGGATGCATAGTGGTTTCATATGATGCCCATCCTAGAAATACTGGAATTCTCAACCTCTCACATCTTGTGTCCAATGTCAGAAATTCGTCGCGCGAAAAGCCAGCTTAAAATGTACTGTAAGTGTCACAAAATCAGTAAGCTGAAGACTTTCGGACCCGGTTGAGCTGTACCCCAGTAAACTGCCAGCTTGTCTCCTGGCAAGCGCTCAGTAGTTCATCTGTACATCGCTATCGATTTATTATGGACATTAGCAAAGATGTGCGCTTTGTGCAGTTTTTTGTGCCATCATAATTGTTCCCGGTGTCTGTAGGAGTAGTGCATTGCTGCAGCGTTGCATGGTAGCCTTGTCCTCGAGAGCATAGACTCCTATACATCATGCAGACCCCTAGCTGCCCTGTTCATTGGCAGCCATAAGAAGCAGGTGCAAATGCCGAGGCAGGCGGATTTGTGGAGATGATCGTATGAGACTCGCTGAGTCCATGATATACATGCAGGTACAACTTCGTAGTGGTTGCAAAAGGACCACAACTGGTCGCTAATCCCTGTGCCGTTGTACAGGATCATGCACGGTTAGAAGCTTAGAAGCTGTACCATATCCAATTCGATGGAGTTTTCGGGTTTGAATCGTAACCTGTTCATCAGCCATGTAGCAGTGCAGCAGTGATGGAGTGCCGGGGATCAGAAGACACCTAGCTCAACATCGAACGAGTATGTAAGTTCTGAGACCACTTCGATACTCAAAGGCCTTTTTCAGTGGAGAAAGATGCGAACACCTTAGTGATGAGCCTTGCATGATCCTGTCTCAGATTATAACCAGGGTTCTGTTTTCCATGGCGCCTAGCGCTGTTGAAGCAAAAGTCTCCAAGGGAGGACTGATGTTGTTTCAGGTGCCCACGAGTTAACTCGAGCAATGAAGGCCGCTGTATCAGATCGATGGAAATCTGTGCCACTATCAAGTAAGGGAGTACGCAATAGTTAATTTACGCAGTTGCACTGTCATCCCACCTGAGAAATCGATCGGAGGGTTCAGCATTTCACTTGATGAAATTCATCGGATCGGTCATCCCCGGTTCCTTTGCAGACAGAATTTTGATGTCAGAAATAGAAGGAGTGTTTTCTCTCGGACTTCGACTTATCTCCCGTCTGAATGACGGAGGGGCCCGTATGAAACTCCCCATACATCTCAATGGAAACACAAAAGCTGCCCAAGCTTAAGGCCGCTCCGTTCGATTTTCGAATTCACGGCCACGCACAGAGTCAACAACTGCATCGGGATGCTCTGGTCCAGGAATGGAGGTGTAAATAGGATTGGACACTGCGGGTTCCCCGGATGGAGCTCCGTAGAATCCTTCTGGTGGGTGATCACCCCCGCATGAACGTGTGGTAGCTCAGCGCGTTCGACCGTGATCATTTCTCTCATGATGTTCTCAATGTGACTACTATCATGCACCTGCCCAACATGCCTATAAAAGCTGTCAGATCAGTCAAGCCCACGTATGATGTTGATTGAACTCACTCTAAGCGTCGCCAGGATTTGACGAAGTAATGACAGAGCAACCGAACATATCAGGGGGGTGCTGGAGGAAGCAAGGGAGAGACATGGGCGAGACATGTGTGTATGTATGGCACTGTTCTGTGTCCCATTTCTGCAAGCGGACCTGGAGCGTTGCGAAGTCTCCATTGCAGTCCCCGAGACTTCGATGAGTCCGACGCGGACAGGTATACCGATGGCCTGTGCAAAGAGCTGACGAGCTTCGCCAGATATCGACTCTGATTTCAGTGCTCGATAGCTTGTTTTCTCTGTGATTATGGGTTGATATCCGCGGCCGCAATACTGCATCGATCCAAGCTTTCTTTCCTGTGGCATGCGTTAGAGCCATGCAGTAGAATAGGTTTGAATGACGCTCACTGCGTCAAGATTGATGCTTGAGGACTTAGACCCCGGCTAATGATTAATGAATACCACGATTGTAGTTTGGGGTAGTCCTTCCAGAGTGTGTGACTACTACGAGCCTATTGGGCTTCCTCATGGGTGCTGGCCACTGAGTAGAGAAGCAGATCGGACATGAAGTGTCTCTCTGGCGCTCAGAGGGCTTCTGGATCAAGATGTCTTGTCTAACTGATAAATTTATTGCTGCATAACATGGTGCGTGGCCATGAGTATAGTAGAGAGGAAAGAAAGGATGATGAAGATGGAAGAAGGAAAGATAGAAGAAATGAAGCTTGGTAGATGGGAGACTTTAGGAGATGGAAGAGAGGAAGAGGAGAAGGAGATCGGACAGTTTGGAGAAAAGATTGGTGACTGCGGTGGAAGCAAAATGGGTGAAGAGATCTATCCAGGCTTGGTGGTTGTGAATAAGACAGTAGCCATGGGAATTGATAATCTAGAATGGGAATGATTCAACTGTATTCATAAGGCTGAGTTTGGGACACGCAGTAGTTGCAAATTCTTGAATAACCACATAATCGACTGAATTTCAGGGTTATAGGTGAATTAGTCCAGAATCACAGCAGTTTATTGAATTATGTAAAGCCTCTGGGAGGTGTAGCCTTTAGGTAAGCACTCTATAATCACAAGATGTTGGGCAAGATGTTGGGCACAAGCTAATTCAATGGCAAGCCATACTAAGCCTTCACTCTCAAAGAGAATGCTCCCGTCAATCTGAAGTCGCGAGAGCTTGCTCCAACGTAGACCTGGTATTTCCCAGAAGCAACAAGCCATTGCTGAGCAGCCACGTCCCAGTATGAAATGTCGCGACGACGCAGGCTGAACGTAACAATAGACTCCTGTCCTGCCCGTAGTTCAACACGCTCGAATCCGCGGAGCTGACGAACAGGTTGATCTGCGGCATCTGGAAAGCCAAGGTAGAGCTGGGGAATTTCCGCACCTGCAAGCGTGCCATTATTGGTGATGCGCGCAGAGACGGTTCCCACAACGTCCCATAGATCACTGTTTCCACCGACGGTATGGTTACCCCGGGGAGCTTTGGTCGTGGCAGAAGGGGTCTTGATGGCGAGATCCGAGTACTTGAAAGTGGTGTAAGAAAGACCATGACCGAATGGGTATCTGGGAGTAACGTTCTTGGCGTCGAAATAGCGGTAGTCAATGTAGACTCCTGTGGATGCGGTCAGCGTTTATAGGCCAAAGAGCACCGATACTCGAAGATCAATGACGACTTACCCTCAGTAAAGTTGCATTGAGCAGTGTAGCAGAGCTCCACCTTGTAATCACTCTCGTTCTTAGCGATAGTGTGGATAAGACGGCCGGAAGGGTTCACATCACATAGAGAAGGTCCACAATTGCGTTGCCCGACTCTTGGCCCAGAATAGATCCGTAGAGAACTGCCGTCACGTTGTCGTGCTCAATCCACTGGTCCAGCAGTCGGGGCCCAACGGTGTTGACTACAACCACGGTATTGTTACAGTTGTCTGCAACCGTGTTTATCATAGTGTCTTGATCCTCGTTATACAGCTCAGTGCGGTCAGCACCCTCACCTGACAGAGCATTGATGAAAACGAGGCAGACATCCGAGTTGGTAGCATAGTTGGCATACGAGGGTGACACGGCGGTACTGTCAGTTCCTTCTTGAATCAGCGTGGATCCTCCACTGGAGCTATAAGTATCGTTCATAATCCATCGCATCATAGTTGCATCTTGCGCAGCTCTGATAGTTAGGGCAACGTAAGGGGTAATCACGTAAGGAACAGATGCCTGTCCAGAGCCAGTGCCGGTGGCCAAATGGCCTTGGTAGGTCGGGCCAGACCCTTCGACGTTCATGGCAGCATTCGGTCCTCCCATGACCGGGCCAGCATGGGCTCCGAAAACACTCATCACACGGGGCTTTTTCAACGGAAGAGTGCCTTCATTCTTCAACAAAGCCATCGACTTGGCGCCGTTCTCGCGGATCAGCTTGGAATGATTGCCTCGTACGTCCACATAGGCATCCTGATCTTGCATCGCAGGTTGAAGGCCATTGTCCAGATTGACATGGTAATACCCAATAAGGTTTCTGATTGCCATGTCGTTCAACCGGGCCTCGGTGAGGGTACCATTCGACAGAAGAGTCTTCATTGTAGAAGTGCTCCAGATACTGCTCGAGCCATAGTCCTCGCCGCCTAATGCTGATCCTTCGGCGCTGTTTTGCCCATTCATGTCGGGCCAGACCAGACCCGGAAAGCCAAGCTCTGTCTTGAGCGTCTTCATCAGGAGATCCGAGTTTTCGCAGCTGTAAGTGCCATTGACTTTGGTCATTGCGCACATGACGGCGCCAAGGCCATTCTTCACTGCATCGTAGAATGGCCAGAGGTATGTTTCGTGCAAGGTTTTGTCGTCTGCGTTGGAGGAATAGGGTGCCGAGTCGGAGTCCGAGGAGACAGTAGCACGCCGACTGAATGAACCGGAAGGCTGAGGCCCAGGCGACGAAGAGTTGGAACCACCAAAGCCCATTCCCCCGGAAGGCATTCCTCCTCCACTTCCACCACCACCACCGCCGCCGCCACTGGAAGTCCGGTTGGTTTCTTGCTCGTAAAGGAGAAAATGCTAGCAGATGGCGCAGTTAGAGTCAGCAAGCCCGTAGTTACACTGTCCATGGATCATCTTACTTTGCCACCGGGGATCACTCCAGCGTCGACATAACCCTTGGTAGACAGGCCAGTAGCCAGGCCATTTAGATAGGGATCAGGGCCGAATCCCTCGACATTACGACCACCCCAAGGAGTACGACCCATTGGCTGAGAAGTAGGACCAGCAACCACCTGAATGCCTTTGTTGTAGAACTCCGACCCAACTGCTTTGGCTTGAGCATAGATGGCGTCGCGGTCCCAAGTCATAGCCAAAGCGGAGGACAAGCTGAAAGCAGAGACATAGAAATAGTTCTGAAGACCCATATCCCCATCAAGGAACTCTAGAGCACTGAAGTTACCATTGGATGAGCTAACACTGCTACCGGTGATCAAAGCCAGCTTCTGATCAGTAGTCAGTCCTGCAACGAAGGCAGATGCCTTTTCATATGCAGCCTCCCAGTCTCCCAGCGTGACTATTCGTTATTTAGCATGCTTCCAAGAATCATGATACATGGCCAGTCTACTTACCACCATTAGCCTTGAGTAGACCCAATGTTGAAGAATTCGTGGCGCTTGTCAAGCCAAGCAAGGCTGCCGTTACGGCAAGTGAAATGAATCTCATCTTACCAGAAGAATATAAGAGAATGAAACCAATGATTGACTTTAGTCAGATGGGAATATACGAATGAAAGAGCGAGTATGGCCAGCCAGTGGGAATGGGTAGAGATTCCTGGCATCTTCTACGTAGGCGCATGGCTCCATTTATAGTCCACATCTCTCGCAGTCTCCGTCAACCCTTCTTGTCCTCAAGCACTGTCCTTGTATGACAAAAAGAGAAGACGCTCCGACATTCGTGGTATGAAGTCCCTGAGTATTACGACGCGAGGCCCACCAGCAGTCTATCTGAACAGGTAATGTTCAAGGGCATCATTTCTTCCTATAGCCGATGCGGCAGGCGCAGGGTCGCGACTAGCAACATCTAGTCTGCGCCGGACGCCAAGTCGGATAAGCCGAGCGCGCGCGGGTGGTAAAAACCATAGCAAAACGCCGAAACGAGGAGCCGAGTACGGCAATCTGGCTTATTACGGCTTCCCGAAACCCCAGGTGACGCGTCACATCCAGTGGTTGAAACCCGCCGGCTCAGTCGCTTCTTGGAGTGAACGCATCGACATCTTGGTAAGATAGGCTATGCTCCAAGATTCTCGCTGTTATTGGAGGTTGGACCGCAGAATTCCCCTTAGTCAGCGGAAGGTTTGTCGCATCAGGGTCAGGGACCAACAAGCCTCGGATGACCCGAATCGTGTACTGCCAGGTTCGCAATAGTATCATATCGATTCAGGCAAATGTAGAGGTTTTAGTGAAATAAGCATAAGGAGCTAGTGAGCTTGTTCCGTGTTCACAGATAGGGCTGGCTATCTAGAGTGGTGGCCACCACCCACATGGTTCCGAAGCACCGTGCCTCAATGGTCTATCGTCTCATCATTGTCCTAATTGAAGGGACGAGGAGATTGCTCAGGGTCGACGCCATAGTCCCTTGATATGTCCTGCTGTTTGTCGGGAATCCTGCTTAACGTGTACTGCAAACTGAAGCAGTAAGTGCAGGCACATAATAAGATCTGATTCCTCAATGAGTCTTAGACGATGTCAGTCAACGGTCCTTAGAGACCGAGGAATGGTCCTGGTTAGGCAAGCCCATTAGCGTAAGTTCTAGGATGCATGAAGAAACATGTAGACTCCAGCTTGAGCTTGCTATAATAGACACGCCAATCAGATGCGCGTAGTTCATCATGCACGATAACAAGCTGGTGGGTCAAAGATGCATGTCCAGCTAAGATATGGATGAAATTGGGCTTGTAAGTTACTTGGTGACTTGTTGGAGAAACGAAGTAACCGAATCTGGCAAGAAGACAACCTCTATTCACGTGACCAGCACATCCGCCGCATCACCATCATCGGTCGTCATCCAGCGATTTCCAATTGCGACGAGTCCTTATAAAAGCGTTGCTATGGAACTACTTTACGGACGACGGACGGAGTCCCTTTTGGCTGAATTACTTTGACAATAACCGATTCCAAAATCCACTGGATCACTGAGATCAGATCCGCTGTCAAAGTCACACTCTGTGCCTGGAGAACCAGACAAAAGTAGATATGTCACTGCAACGATTGTACCGTGACGAGAACGGTGGGAACCCCCAAGAATAAGAAATGGATCGTTCTCCAGGTGGAAAAATTTACAAGGGGAAAGAAGATACAAGAAAGTAACCCGTGGTGTTGCTTTTGAGGGAGTGGAAAGTTGATTAATGCAGGTCTGTTCTCCCCCCCCCTCTCTCTCTCTCTGTCTCTCTCTC